TGAGGTATATATAAATATGTGAGGTGGTCATTTTAATGTTTTAAAGTGAAACCTCAGGCACACAGCTAAACATACAGTTGAAATATATACATATTTACTGATTTACCGATGAAATAGTTTGTATTGCTGTACAGCCAATCTTGTGATTTTTATACATTTTCCACTCTATACGACCAGGCAGGTGAACCATGTAGGACACATGTAGTTCCTGTTGTCCTATGTCATCTCACATCTTCTGGTCTCATCATTGCACATGGTGAATCAGCACCATCACCTCTAGTACATGGATCCTACTGACTGGCAGAGGTGTGTCTGTCATGAGAAAGTCTGGACAAAAATACGTTTGCGGGTAAAACAGTAAACATATATGAATTTCAATCATGAATTCAGCTCTTGTCTGGAGTTCCAGTAAAATTCACATATCTCCTTTAAAGATAATCATGCTTTTACATCAACCAGGGAATATCTTGATTCAAATGTGTAATTATGGCCATATGACCCATCAGTCAGATAAATATATTTGTCTGCCTCTCCCTTGGAACTGTTGCACCTTCAATATAATGCTGGTATACACAGACATATCTTTTGGCAGTGAGCTAAACAATCAGCAGATACCCAGGAGGGTCCACAGCACTCTCCTTCCCAATTGGTTTGACATTGTGTGGTTTTAGAGTGGAGTGTGAATGTAATGCGATACTGGAGATTTATAGAATTCCCATGTGTGGGCAGTAAATGTTGTTGTACAGCATCTTTGACTTTGCTGGCACTTAATATAAACTGCCCCACAGTTTCACTGGTTTTGGGCTGCACTGTTGCCAAGCTTACTGGGACTGGGGCTTCTCAGCAACCCTTTCCTGGCTTTCCCCTGCCTATGTGTAGTAATTCATGGAGACTCAAATACAGTGATTCTGGGAAGAAATAACTTTATCAGTGTATCTCATGGCTTAAACTGACCATTCCAAAAAAGGAAACTCTTCTGTTTTCATCATGGTCACTAATACCTTTTGAAGGACTAGGAGGGGCAGGATATTGGCATAAATGGTCACTTGTGCTAGTATGCCGTAAGTGGACAGAGGCCATTTGCCACTTTGATTGCTTTCCTCTGCTAAACTGTGTGTGTACTAATGCTAAAAGGATACTCTAACAATTTAAAGAGTCTACAATACATTGCTGGGCGTTGGAAAATAGCATATAAAATAGACCTATAGCCAAATGTAGACTTAAAGGAGAACTATGAGGTGGGTGCTTTTCACTCATCCTCATAGTTCTAGCCGACCTGTGACAAAGAAGCTGTCACAGGTCGGCTCAGTAGATCGGGAAGTGAGCGCACGAAGTCCGGCGCTCGCTCACTTCTCGTTCCTGTCACGTCAGAGAGCCGTGACAGGGGAGGGACTGGATTCCCCCCTCCCCGCTCCGATCCTCCAGCTCTGACTGGCGGAACAGATGGGGGAGGGGGCGGGTACAGCTGGCTCTGCCTCTAGATAGGCAGAGCCAGCTGTCACTCACGCAGCTGGGCGGATCCAGACATAATTGTCAAGATCTGTTTCAGCTGCGGCGTCTCAGTATACTGCGAGCTGCAGCTCGCGGTATACTGAGCTTAGGGTGACAGGAGGACGCTAGTTTGTGTCCTCCCGTTACCCTTCGGAGAACTATGGGGAAAAGCCCTAACCCCATAGTTCTCCTTTAAAGCGTAACTGTGGCCAAGTTATGTAATTTTAAAAATTGACATACAAACATTAAATTAAGTTTAAAACAAATCCTCACTGACCTTTGTAACCACAGGCACTGTCAGACAATTCATCCTCAACATTTACAACAGGAGCATTGAAGTTCTCAATCCTCCAAGCAGTGACTTGGCAGGCCTCTAGCCCTCTAATCACTAATATAAACACAGAGCATGTGCTCACAGAGCAGGAAGAACTGTGCTGCCAAAAGAGATGATTTGAATAACTTCAGTGTCCTTGCTGGCTACTTCGGGGATAATTTGCTTAGTGTCTGCTAGATAGGTCAGTAATGGTTTGTTCTAAAGATTATTTACTGCATGTTTAGAATTTGTAATTATAGAATGTCCATAGTCAGGCCACCGGTTTTCTTAAAAGCTTTATTTACAGTCTTGATGAAATTACATTTTGGATTGGCTTATCTTTTCCTTCAGCAAAGTTCATGTGGGCCTTTGGTCAAGTGATCAGCACTGTATGGAGCCTCTGTGTATCCATCCCAGCAATGTGTTCACATAGTTTGAAGTTCACATTTGAGCATAGGCCAATTTAAGGCCCCATGACATTTGGCATTCTGCAAAGGCTAGGAAAGAATTGATTTTCACAAACGGGTTAACGTGCTTCCGCTGCAATCATGAGAAATCCTTGTTTGATGCATTCCAGAGATATTGGAATACTGAGTCCAACATTATTTTCCCCAGAAGCTTGGCAATTACTTTTATTTGACAACAAAATGAAATGGTAGTTGATTCTGGAGTGCAATTCTCTATAGTACCTTTGCTCCTCTCTTAGCATCTTGTACTTCAATAGATCTCTGTTATATCTGTATCCACCTGTTCTTCATCATCATAAGGAAACATCTAGGGTTTAATTATAGATAAAGTCATTATTTAAAGTTGTTTTTTAAGGTTCTTAATTATTATACATATGCTTCTACTTGGAAGTGTAAATTCTCAAATAGCCTCAACGCTACATGAGTAGAAAAAAACCCTAAAGTTTAAATTATTTTTAGCTAATACTGTATTTAATATTAGTCAGTAATTCAGTATGATATATCAGTCCAGATTCAGACTAAAATGCAATATAAATTTGCTTGTCCATGCAATAAATATGAAAATAGGTTGCGGTAAAAAATTTTTTATACCTTCTGAGATCTGCCTTAGCATGAAAATGAGCTTCCTGTGCATACCTGACAATCAGATAATTAGTTATAGGCATATGAGTCATGGCTTCTCCCTAGGAAGAATAAAATCATTGTATGAATTCCAGCATCCCAGCATATAGCAAGTATATGATCTGGGGCTGCAGATTCTGTAGTTGCTATAAGCGCAACACCATATAGTTGCTAAGGCAGTATTTCATATTTCAATGGAAGCAAAGGATGCCAGGTTTTATCTATTTTTGTATGACTTAGAACTGCCTGCAGTGACAAGCAGAGTAGGAAGAAGATCCGCAAAGATGTGCTGTATTTTTGTTAAACTATTCCTCATATCAGAGGCTGTTAGACATACGTGGAACCCATAAACAGTAAAGGGTTGTTCCTTCTCTGAAGTTGCAATAGGATTTTTTTCAGGGAGCAGTTTAGATATAAATACATATTCCTGGGTTTCTCCTTTAAATCTGTATTAGGCATCTCCATCTTAAAAAAAAAAACACTCCCCTGATCTGTGTTATGAAAAGTACATATACCCTCGTAGTTTTTGAAATTCAAGATTGTGCAATATGGTGTGCACTTGTTTTGTAAGTCTTGACTTTTTAAGCATTTTTCAAAAGTTTCAATAAAGTTTTCATGAACGTATAAAATAAAAAAAACTAGTGTTTTCACAAATAGACCTTGCATCTGTCCTCTCGTCTATTCTATCACACAACTGGTACATTCATTAATGATACCTGGTACAAAAAAGGCTATTAGCTTGAAGATTGAGTGGTGCATTGCAAAGCAGTGGGTTCCATTTTATATTATAGAGTATGGTCTATAGTGTATAGTTATTTCTGGGCTACAAAGCTGCATATCTAAGTCATTGGTCCCTCTTCACCATAATATGGAATCTGGGGTTTGACACCTTGTTCTTGTTTTTGGGGAACTTTTCACACATTGTTCTTGTTTTTGCAGAGCTTTTCACACATTGTTCTTGTTTTTGGGGAACTTTTCAGTCAACCTATTTATCATAAAACTGTTCGAAAACCATTTGAAGAGGCCACCTATCCATATAAGTACAGCATAACTATGCCCATTGTAAATGAATTGCCTGGCAAAGTCATGTTTGCTAGCACAAAATGGCGCAAGAAGTACCACGACATAGAAAAGAAAGATTTTAGTACACTGTGACCACTGTAAATGATATAAATGCTTTGTAAACACAAAACTTATATAAATTTCTTCATTGTAATAATGAACGACCAGTGTTAAAACTTACAAAAACGCCACTGGTGGTATCTGCATACAAAATAAAGATTGCTATGGTATTATTCAAAATATTAATGCCAATCGGGGTAACATTTCTCTAGAATGGATTTATTTTTCTTTCAGACATCAAGCTGGTAGATTATTTCACTTTTCTCTTGAAAAAGTTTGTTTCCTGACTGTCTTTAACTTATTACAAAAATATTTTCTGTTACAATCATGAACCCAACTTGATAGCAAAATTGTACTTCTTGGGTAATAAAATGTATTGAAGACCACAGCGAGAGGAAAATCATCTGTATATATAACCTTCCTAACAAAATGCCATGTCCTAACCTCATACCTTTAGTGGGTGAATTTTCAATGACAAGTAACCTTCTATGTTACCCTGATTGGCACTACTGCAGCTTAACTGACAGATTGAAGTAACCGTCTCATCCCTAGTCATCTTTCCTCTTGGGTATGGTTATGGTAAACTGTGGCAAGGGAAAAGGCATAGCTTGTGTCTTGTTCCTTTCCAGCTGTGCTTTCACAACACAGAGAGGCACACTCAGGTCAGTCACTGAGAACAGCTCCTGGTAGCTCATTTGTTAACGTGTGCCAGCGTTCAATTTTCTTGTCTTTGTTTTTCAGGCAGTCAAACCAGTGTTTAAGACGTTCTCCTTTTGCATTGATTCCCAATACAACTCCACCTATATACAGAAATAAATGTTATTTATGTTTTCATGATGCTGGTATTGACTTAAAGTTGTACATGGTTGAAGATAAAAATAAGTACTTAAAACAAAAGTTAGAGTCCATTTCCACCTTTGTAAGTGATTAGCATTTATTGTGGTAATGTAGAGGGATCACTGCATAGGTTCAGGTTACTAACATGTGAAGTAGTGACATGGGACTAGAAGAAAATCTGCTCTGTAAAACACTCTGTAGTTATGACACAAGGAAGAACTGATCAGCAACGGTGCTGATCACCACCAATGCAAATTCTGGTGCTAATGGAAGTGTCTGCCATTTTATTGTGGTACCAACACTGGCCAAGAACAATTAATGTAATAATGAGTATCGTTGAAGAGAGTCAGGAATTACTATAGATTAAAAAATTGCCTTGACTTCCACTCTAATATAGAAAAGACAATTTTAGTACAGTGTAGTAAAGCAAACTTTGTGGAAATTAACTAGTCTGAACCCACCCCAAATTCTGCTACGTCTGCTGGAAACCAAATCCAGCTATCTAAGCCAACTCACCCTTTAATACTGTAAATAGCACATTAAAATAAGCAATAACATTTTAGCATGTTCACTGCTGTACTGCAGATCTCGAATTAGCTGCAAAACAAACAATATGACAGCTTGTTTTCTTTGAGGTCACACACAATAGGACTTACCTATAAAGTCATTTGATTTTCCAATATCATAATCCCAGACTGTGACTTCTAAAGTCTTTTTTGCAAGGTCACTGTGTTTTATTTCATAACAAAATTCCTGCAAAGATAAATTACATTAGCAAAAACTGGAACAAAAAACTGAACAGCAAATAAAATTGAAGTTAGTCATCATTTACAAAGGACATCATTATCATGGTGCTCCTACGTTTGATTAAAAAAAAAAAGAGAGATTCACATACGGTACATTGCTGAATTCTCTGTATTTCCAGGGTCACACATTAACTAGACGTATTTGCTAGATCTGTTGGCGCTCTGCTGCTCTCAGATAGAATGCTGATTCTTTTATGAGGTTTTCTCATTCACGTGACATGCATAAAGTACTGTTCGCAGCTACTGTATGTAACACCTGTAATATGTCGGTGTTCAATTAGTAATCTGCACTTCATGCTAACTCCCAGGCAAGTCTCCATGGCACACAGTCAGACTACTCAGAAGCGAAGCTTTTTGACATTTCCTTAATTACTGCAGCCAGCCAACCTTTGCCAAGTCACACAGTTGGCTGTCACAGTCATCACATTATCTGCAGTACTCCCTCAGCACCCATCCTCTTTTACCTAAGCCCAATATCTAATCTTAAATAACATTAGGAGTTGCCTAAGCATGCAGAGTGTGCATCTGTTAATAGCAGAGGTATAAAAAGTATGAAGATTCTTTGAATATCTAATTATTGGAGGGCTCCTACTATGGGATTTCTATGCTAGGGGGTTTGCGCTGTTTGAATACAAGATTCCAAAATACCCTGGGTAGATTCGGAGGTTGATGACTTTAGATGTGACCAAACAGTAATCTGTATTGCCCTTTGGGTGATTTCGTTTTATTCCAATACAGTACAGAAAAAAATGGTATAATCAGACACCTGTTCGTTATTTGTTATACTGATGCTTGGCTATATCAAGGCTATACAATGGCTGAGAAATATGGAAGTGAACAGGGATAGTGCTCTGACTGTCATCGAAGGCAGTGTAGGCAAACCTGCACCCAATTCATCCTTTGCTATACAGTTGGGCAAAAAAGTATTTAGTCAGCCACCAATTGTGCAAGTTCTTCCACTTAAAAAGATGAGAGAGGCCTGTAATTGGCATCATAGGTAGACCTCAACTATGAGAGACAAAATGAGAAAACAAATCCAGACAAATCACATTGGCTGATTTGGAACAAATTATGGTGGAAAATAAGTATTTGGTCAATATCAAAAGGTCATCTCAATACTTTGTTATATATCCTTTGTTGGCAATGACAGAGGTCAAACGTGTCCTGTACGTCTTCACAAGGTTGCCATACACTGTTGCTGGTATGTTGGTCCATTCCTCCATGCAGATCTCCTCTGGAATGGCTGACTAAATACTTTTTGCCCCACTGTATATGCTCCAAGATGGAGGTTCTCATAGATTAGAGTTAGGACAACACTTCCACATATTTATCAAAGGTTGTGCAACCCTATAGGTTAAACAGTGTATTTTTTTTCTTTTTTTGCAGGCTAGCAGGTAGGAAATCTTTGCTTTTGATCTAAGGGAGTGTTTCTCAAAATTTTTTCAGTCATGGCAATCTTTAAAAGTATGAAAAATTTTGAGACACCCCAGTCTAAAATGTAAAAAACTTAAATGTAAAAAGTGTTGTGTAGCCCTTCCAAAATCCATACCCGACCTTTAGCAGAAATAGGGGTTTGGCATGGATTCTAAAGGGGAGACCTCATGCAAAAACACAAAAAGGGGTTCCTTCTTCACATTAGGAGCCCCCTTGCATATCAGAATCTCTCCTTTCACATCAAAGTTCCCCCTCTCACATAAGAAGCTTTCCTTCACATCAGAGTCCCCCATCTTTCACATCAGAGTCCTCTGCCTTTTATAGCAGAGTTCTACTATCAAATCGGGAGCCTCAGCTCAGCTCCCTCAATGCGGGAGACAATAGACATGTGCGATTCGTTTCGTTACGAATCGAAATTCGTACGAATTTTCCTGAAATTCGTAGATTCGTAAGCATACGAAATCCGAATGGCAGTTTCCGAAATTATATCCGAAATACGAAATTCCGTTAACGAATTTCGGATCCGAATTTCTTTGAAACGGGAACTAATATTACCCCTGTAAATGAGGTTGAACAACATGACAAGTTTTTTTTTTAATCCGAAATACGGATCCACTGCTGCTGAGGGTTACATTACAATACACAGGCAGGAAATACGAAATTCAGTTGACGTATTTTCGTTCCATTACGAACATTCGTTATATATTGAAGTTAAAAAGCAAAGTACATTTATATTGGAGTTGATGGTAGTTTTTTAAAAGTACGAAATACGAAATTCGTATACGGAATCCGTTAACGGAATTAGTATTTCGTTGTGGTTGACAAATCAGAGGTTCTCTTCTGCTGCTGAGAGTTGCATCACAAATACAGGCAGGAAATACGAAATTCCGTTGACGTATTTTCGTTCCATTACGAACATTCGTTATATATTGAAGTTAAAAAGCAAAGTACATTTATATTGGAGTTGATGGTAGTTTTTTAAAAGTACGAAATACGAAATTCGTATACGGAATCCGTTAACGGAATTCGTATTTCGGATAAAAAAACAACTACCACATCGACTCCAATATTAACAAAGGTATTTTTGCTTTTTAACTTCATCATAACGAATGTTCGTAAAGTTACGAAAATGTGCCGAAACTAACAAAAATACGTATTTCGTACGAATCCGAATTGAGTTTCGGATAGGAATTCCGAAATACGAAATAATGGATATTACGAAACGAAACGGAACGCATTTTTTGACAGCGCACAAGTCTAGGAGACAGCACCCTGGTTGAGAAAGACTGATCTAAGAGGACATTGTGTTCTCTAATTAAATCTATCAAATGTGGTCACTTAGTCAAAATGACTGGTGGTTTAATGTTTAACTGAACAGACCGAACACACTTATGAAGCATTCTATTAGAGGGCAGGCAGAATTTCAGGATAACAAGAGGGATAATAGAAAACCTCATATAGCATGGCAGTGTATCCTGGGGAAAAAATATGACTTTATTTTCCGTTTCTGCAATTCTTTTTGCTCAGTGTTTGACCACACATCAATACTTTTCACATGTACATGGAGTGATTACGTTGTGAATTTTCTGTACATTTAATATAATGGCTTTAATTAGCCTCAATGATTAGTCTAGTTATCAGTTTTAGTTTTTGTCCTTCATAATGGAAACAGTGAAGATCAATGCATCATTTCTGTATTAGTCACTTCTCTCTGTGCAATCGTAGTTGCGGAGAAATGGTGGATAGCAGCGTGTTCATTACCTACCAATGACAAACTGTTTGTGTGGGGGTAACTAATGGCTAATTGATTTGAACTTGAATCACAATCAATAAGAAGATGAAACTGTGAAACTAGGCTGTCTACGGCCAGATCCTTCGGCAGCTTTGTGAATAGACCCCCTAGTGCTGAAGTGAAATGAAGAAAAAGACATGGTGAATATGTTCCAAATATCATTCTAACCAAAGAACCCTTTTACAATGAAGAACTGTGGTCAAGCCCATGTGAAATGACTAATGGCCCATCAGGTGTCTCCATAAAATCTGCTTTATGTAATGTTAAGGCTAAAGTTCACATACAATTTTAAACAACAATTAACGTATAACCAAAGGGAAAACCTTTTTTATTATTTGGATGTAGTAGTGATGGGTCTGAACCACTGTCAGGTTTTTATTGATGTCAATATCTCTATTAGGGAGATTTCCTTTCACTTACTGTTCTGTAGACTTAACGGGAAGTGAGAGGTTATCTTTCTAATCCTCTCTTATAGACATGTGCATTCGGATTCGGACAAACCTGCAAATCAACGAAAATCAGTTGATTCGGCAGTTTGTCCCAATTCAAAATAGCAAATTTAATATATGCTCGAATATACTAAAACGATATTCGGGCATAAATAAATTCATTTTCAGAACACGCCAGCGACCATATTGGCCGCCGGTGTGTTCTGCATATGCCCGTCGCCATCTTGGAGGCGGAGTGTATGACGTCACATGACGGTGACGTCACATGCTGAACGAGCGGTGGCCAGATCGGCCACCGGCGCGTTCTGCGCATACGCGTCGCCATTTTGGAGTAGATCTTGGTATACATCAAGATAGTGGCACTCGAACATGCGGCCACCGCCATCTTGGTGCATACCAAGAACTACTCCAAAATGGCGTTGCGCATGCGGAGAACGCACCAGTGGCCAATATGTCTGCTGCTCGTTCTGCGGTCTCAGTGTGCGGTTTTGGATTCGCAGGCTTATTGCCTCCGAATCTTAAAAAACATAACAATTTATTTCCTTTGACGAAACGAATTAAAACATTTTTTTCGTTTTCATTTGTTTCGTCTGGAACCAAATGTTTTTGTTGTGCACATGTCTACTCACGTGTCCCCATTGGAAGATTTCCCCGCAGAGGAGCAGAGATGGTACGCTGACAGGGGGTCACAAGGGGCAGTCACAAGAGTTAGGCTAGGGTATTCACCAGCTGGGTAAATAGTGCAAAGTCAGTACAGACAGAGCAGGGTCAGAAGAAGGGCAGGTAATACACAGAGAGGTAATAATCCAAATCAGAAGCAGAGAGTAGTCAAACAGGCCGAAGTCAGTACGCAAGCAGGCAAATGGATGACAAAGTCAGGAAGTTTATTCCAAACTGACACCACACACGAACAATTGCTAATAGTGAGCAAGTACGTAGGGTGGAGACACCTTTTTAAAGGTGGTGGGACCAGATGGACTGATTGGGGAGCCTCCTGCAAGTTAGCCTCTGAATGGCTTGTCTGTGTCGGTATTTATACAGGTGGCAATTCACAATTTCGGATTCACTCTCACTATCATACCAGTGGACATTGGTGCTCAGGACAATTAGAGAGGGTGAATATTCCTAACAGGGTCACAGCCACAATGAAAGGTTCTAACTCCTTACTACTCACCATTTGTTGTTATTGACTCATTATTAACGCACTGAAGACAACGTGTTGCAAAGGAGGGAAATGTCAGTAAGAGATAAATCTCATGCTGCTAAATAATTAAAGCACAGCTTCAGGCTACATGATTCCCCTCAGCAGCCCCCTTCCTCTCCTGAAGACCCCGACTGTGTGTATTCTATGCTTTTTATGTTTTTTGTAATGCTTACCTGTGTTTTCACAGCACTACTGTGGTACTGTTTTCACTGCAGTACTGTTTTCACAGCATTACTGTGGTGGCAGTGCTCGATAGGAGGCAAGTGTTGCATTCAGAGCTGCTTTTTTGTTTTTTCAGAAATGCTGGGGGATCTTTTTTAATGATTTTACTTTAAATTTGTCCTTAGTTGAGGACTAATTTCTAATGTAGTTCAGGCTCAGATATGTGGGATATTTTTTATTGCATAAGACATTAAATTGTCTTTTTTTGTGTAACTTTTTTTCAGAAATGCTGGGGGATCTTTTTTAATGATTTTACTTTAAAATCATTAGGTGCGTGTGATTTTTACACAGCAAAACGTATTTATCAACCAAAAAGTCTCTAAAAGCATATTTCCACTAATGCCATAAATGGAAAAATCATGCACATGATGCATATATAATGCTGCTTCACAGTTTAGACAAAAATGGTTAGCTCATGCATTTACATTCCTGCATGCATTCATTAAAGCAAGCAACACAATGTAGAGCTAATTTACACAATATCATCTTGCAAATTCATGCAGGGCTTTGCACAACACACCTGCTGGGTGTGTACACACTACAAAGGTGTTTAGATTCCACCCATAGATCATGCTGGGAGGGAACACACTACAGAGGTGTATACATGTTCGTGGTGTGTTTATAAGGTTAGTAAATCAACCCCACTGAGTGGCCATATTATTATGACCCCCCCCATCAGTACTTCGTTGGGTCACGAGATGACTCTACGAGATTACTTCGTTGGGCCGCCTCGTGACTCCACGAGATGTTGAAAGGTGATGCGAGGAATCTGACACTGCACTGTTGCCCTTCTGTTGTCTTGTACCAATCTTGCCACTCTCCGTTCTGCCCTAACATTGACTAGTCACTGACGGCCACAATTCGCACGTTCAGACCCAGATTTTCTGCTGACGGTCCAGTCTTTAAACACTTTAACAACCGCTGCTCTTGAACATTTAACGGATTCTGCTGTTTTGCTGATACTCGCTCCATGGCTTGAGCACCAACAATCATCCCACGTTCAAAGGCTGTTAAATCGCGTTGTTTACCCATATCTTCAGAAATAATCACTTCTACTGTCGTGGTAAACAACCTGCTTCCCTATTTATAATGGTCTGGCCCTCTAGCAACTTCAGCGGGAAATTATAGCTAATTATAGCTAAGTTGCCTACAAACGTCAGGTGGTCATAATAAACTGGCCACTCATTGTATTGTGGTAACTAAAATAGAACATTATCTCGTATTGCCATGTTGGCTATAAGCCTCGTTTGGCCTGTTCTATGCATGGTTGGCTTGGTTATGCTATGTCATTTTAATCTATTACTGTTCATTTGATATAACTACCTGTAAAACCTTATTTAAAACATGCTGAAAAATAAATTGGTTTTCTGTTGACAGTTGCTATGCAACATATGAGATTTTAAAGCATTGCAGTCAAATGATGGTCAACAGGGAGCTAACCTCACACTACAAAATGGTTTAATTTTTTAGTATGGTTGAGCCTGACTTAACCTCCCTGGCGGTATGATTATTTTGATTTTCGTAATTTTTTCGGCGCGATTTTTTTTCGGATTTTTTTCGTTATTTTATTTCTTCGTTTTTTCCGGGTTTTTTTCGAATTTCCCGCCGGTTCCGCCCCCATGCGACGCGTCAGCTCGCAAGGGACGGAACCCGGAAGACAGCTGCCGGCGCCGGCCGGAGGACACCGCACGGCTCGAGGGACAAGGTAAGTAAATAATGTGGGATATTCCCGAGTGTAGCTCAGGGTGTGGAAAAGTAACCCTGAGCTACACTCGGGAATACCGCCAAGGAGGTTAAAAAGTAATTCCCCTTTTGCGGTTATTGCACTATTTTTTTTGACCGATTTATAACATTACAGCAGGTACAGTTTTAATTGGAAAGGTAATTTTTAATAACATTCAATTACAAAATGGCATGTGTAGCAATTATATATGCTATATTCATTTTTACCAATGTTTTTCATTTTTATAAAGTGGAGTTGCCCTTTTATAAGTGGCACCATTATTCCACATCCAAATTCAGCAAGGTATATGTAAAACTATTATACTAAACATACACAACAAAAGTCAGGGATGTACTATATACATTTATTTTACATTTCAGTGTGAATTAGATTTAGTTATTTTGTTATTAAAATGAATTGCTTAAAACAAAAGGAATCCTTTACAAATTACAAGCTACACATAAAGTAGTATTGGTGTTCTTTGGTAGACTATACATTTGCTTAGTAAACCTTACCTAAAACCAATTGTGGTTTTAGGCAGAGTTCTCTTTTTCAAGCCTCAAATATGTTACTTTACTTTTTAAATGCCTTAGTTAAAATGACCTTCGTAATATGACTGTAGATGAAGGATCTCATAGGTAGCCACAGGATCTTTCCATCCTTGAAATCCAAGCACCTGAATCCAGGATGTTTGCTCCTGACTGATGTGACAAGGGAAATGATGCATGGGCACTAAATAATAATCATTTCCTTTCTCATGAAAGTGTAAAAAAGCATTAAGCTGTGAAATTGGAGTGGTTTATTGTGTGTCCCCTATACTACCATCTCTAGTAATGATCAAATTAGTCATAATGCTAGAAACAAAAAAAATTGAAAACTATGTGGCTGACTTACGTTATAAAACCTAAAAATACATAGCTGAAATACACACCTGCTGAATGTGAACTGCTTTACTTTCCACATAATTTGCAGTTGTGTTCAGCTGGCCTTGTTCTCACACCCCTGTCACACTGCACAGCCAGCCATGCAGATGCTATTTCTATCTTTTAGCAGGTAACATAGTTCATATATACTGAGTGGTGTAAATATTAGCATATACAGTTTTGTGTTACCTGATATTTCCCCGAAGCCCTTTTTAAAATAACATTAAAGTGACATTAAACCCTCAGATTTTTTAACATAAAACAATACTGTAATGTGTGCCTTACTGTAATCCATGGTTGTTTCCCTTCTCTTTGCTGCTCTTCCTTTTAAATCTGTATCTGTTCTCATGCTGGGCAGAGCTTCAGTTTTGCAGCAGACTGCCTTGTCTCTGAAATGGATACATGGTGTCTGTGTGTAGGTTCACAACCTGAGCCAGCACTACAGGAAGAGGCACTCAGCTGCAAATGGAAGTTCTCCCCAAGCATGAGAAGACATGAGGATTTAAAAGGAAGAGCAGCAAAGAGAAGGGAAACAACCATGGATTACAGTAAGGCACACATTACAGTATTGGTTTATGTTAAAAAATCTGAGGGTTTAATGTCACTTTAATGTAACTGTGGCAGTGCATGGCAAAGTGTTGTGACACATTGCCGTGCGTCGTGATACAATGGGGTTAATTTACTAACCTTATAAACACGCCACGAACATGTATACACCTCTGTAGTGTGTTCCCTCCCAGCATGATCTATGGGTGGAATCTAGACACCTTTGTAGTGTGTACACACCCAGCAGGTGTGTTGTGCAAAGCCCTGCCCTGAATTGCAAGGTGATGTTGTGTAAATTAGCTCTACATTGTGTTGCTTGCGTTGATGAATGCAGGAATGTAAATGCATGAGCTAACCATTTTTGTCTAAACTGTGAAGCAGCATTATATATGCATCATGTGCATGGTTTTTCCATATATGGCATTAGTGGAAATATGCTTTTAGAGACTTTTTGCTGTGTGAAAATCACACGCACCTGGTGCGTGCGTGTTTTTTAGGTTAGTAAATCAGCCCCATTGTGTTGCAATTAAACGTATGCCTGTATCATTTTATCACCACACACACCAGCACAGTGCACAAACTATTTTTTACATAAATCGCTTATTTACAGTTTTGCGTTACTTCATTTTTTTATCGTTTTGCAAGAAGGCGCAATTTCAAATGTGCAAATATTTGTTATTTATTTACTCAATACAGTTTTATCTTTTAGATTTAGTTGGAAGTATTTTTTGTGTGCACTGATACTGATTTTATTGTGCTTTTATCAATTTAATTGTGTGTTTGTATCGGTTTAATATTAATTTGATTAACATTTGCGCAATTATCGCAGGACCTACAAAATTAGTAGCACCATCTTTTTATTCTACCGGGCCTGTGCTGTCAGAACATATATGGTTTGGGGGGTCTTTAACAAGCCCTAGCAATGCAGCAGTAGAAGATAAAAAAAAATGGGAAAAATTGCACAAACGTTGTGGCCAGCTGAGGTGCAAAGCATTCCAGAGGGCTTGGCAGCGAAAGGGTTAAATGAGCTTTTGGAGCAGAGTCAAGCCTTCTGACCCAAATTACTTTAATGGGAGCACCTGAAAAACATGCAAAAGTAGCTTTGCATTGGCTAAAAATAATAATACAATAATACAGTCAAGTTTTAAAAGCTTGCAAAAATGCCTGAACAAACACTCGCAAAAAATTTTAAACACCCCAAAATGCTCAGCCCTCCTTACTGCTTCATTCTCTGACTCTCTGTAACCACCTACCACACTCACTTATTAGATATGTATGATTATTAGCTCGGCACAATATTGTTTTTTCACACTCACAATATAACGATTAAAAAAGGAAGATGATCGTTACCTCATTAAACTCTGGATTCAGCGTTTTCTTCTTCACAGCAGTTTTATGTTTTGATTTCTTGTCTTCATCTGGTTTCAAGTATCTGAAATACAGGTGACACAGGCGCCTCATTAATGGCTTATTGGCAGTAATGTAAAAATGTTAAATGTTTTACGCCAATTAAAAGTTTATTTGCTAACACCTTCCAGCAGATGTGACCCAGGTTGATTCACCTGATGTATGCTGTCATGGACCTAGAATAAGGCTTCATATATGAGCGACTTGATGGCCAACTGCACGGGCATTTCAGTCCTTTGGGATAGCAAGGACATAGAGGCTGATTTACTAAAGGAGTTCAGAATGTGCATAAAACTAAAAATTGAGGATGCAATTCAATTATCCAATCATGAGCAGATTACATTAATAAATACAAGGCCCACTACAAGGTCATAATAATAAAAACTGAACTCCAGTCTTATCTTCAGTCTTGTACAGTTGCACAGGCTCCTCTCCTGTACTAAAATAGCTTACTCTGATTTAATTGTACATGATGAGCTTCTCACAGAGAAGAATGTCACCTAAAAGCTGCAGGATGTCAGATCCCCAGCTCTTTCCTTCCCAACCAAACTGTCCTTGGTCCGCCCCTTTCATTCATTGGATTTTAGTTCTTTCAATAATGGAGGCTCAGAATCACATGTGGGTGTTACCTAGAGTCATAGCGTCATCTGCAAGCAAAAGCATCCTGCCTAGGAATACCCACTCCTCCAGACTGACATCCACCTATCAAGGAATTTTGATATTTGCATAACTCCTCCCAAAGGCAGCTCACATCTTCCATCAGGGCTGAAGGCTCTTGAAAAAAGTCCTGCGGAAGGGTGCTGTGATGTTTTTAGGAAACTATGTACAGCACCCTGCCGCCCCTCCCACCAGCCATCATCTGCCTGCATTGCATAGAGTAACACAGAGACCCATTAATAATATCACTTGATCTAAAATAATGTATGTATTGAAAACAGAAAGGTTTTATGTAAACATTTTATTAGCATGTTGATGGGGTGGAGTTGGGAAGCCAAACTATAAGCAGCTTAGACTTCAGCTTTAAAGTGTATGTCAAGCCTAAAACCTTTTCCAATCTACTTCAATAACCCCCAATTGTTGTAGGTGGAGAGGAGGCTTGACAGGAGTGGGCCAAAGGCATAGCCAGGTGGGTAAACTGTTCTTTGAATAGGTAAATGGTATCTGGGTGGGGGAGGAGGCAGGAGCCAGGGAGCACAGGATAGGTGAGTTAAGCTGGTGGGGCAGAGCTCTAGGTGAGCATTGCCAGGACTGTTAGGCAGCAACCATTTTCTCTGAATCGTATATCTGATTGAAGAAATGTATTTTCCCACGCTGCAGCATTGTAATGTGGTTCGTTAGATCAATGGAGCCCCATCATAGGTCAAGCATTTTTATTATGTCTGTGTTGCTGTTGGAGAGTTCCCCTTACTTCCTGTCTGGTAAACATTGCCAGTAGGACAGGAACTGGCAGCTAATCTCTCTAAGGGAGCCTCAGAAAGCAGTAAAAACTTGACACGGTTTCTTACTCTTCCACACTCTATCCAAAGCTAAGAAAAAGGTTTTGGCTGGACATACACTTTATTGAGTTTTTTCAATTTTAATTTTGCCTGTGTCTTCCTATTGGGGCGATTTCCCTTCCATTTGACAGAAGAGGAAGGGGGGGTCTCCCTAATGGGAACATACACAGAGATCAAAAGAAAATACTAGTAAAGTGGTCAAGTGTTTTATTTGTTGCCTCTGCCTCCATTGGGAAGAATTACCATCACTTTTTGTATCGGTGACAGCACAGGAAGTAAGGGGAACCTGCTCAAAGAAGACAGAATGTAAAACCTGATTAAAGTTCTGCCCGTTCCCCGATCCATTCCAACTTAATAAAAAAAAACGTTTTGGCTGGAGTTGAGATTTCATATATGGTTTTAAAAGCAGTGAGAAGCACATTTTTAAACTAAAAAGCAGAAATACACTTAAAAAATATAGATAACTATATTTGTTGATTGGTATGCCCATAGTTGTTTTTAATATGTATCTTGTTGGAGTTACATTTTAAACCTGCCCTTATATATCAGAGAATGGTCAGAGGGTGTATGGTCCAACTGTTCTGAAATGTCTTTTGCTCCACCTTCTATCCTAAACAGGGATACCCTAGATGCAGGTACATTTCTGTTTAGGAAATGGAAAATCAAGGGAAGGAAAAGTACACAGGCACTCCAGGAACCTTGGTTCATTTAGGGAAAGCAGTACAATTGGACAAGGTTTGCTGCCTTGCTTTGTACCTCATGGCTTTCCAGGTTCCATAGACATTAGTTGAAGATCATTTTTGAATTATTGCTAAAAGTGACAACATATTGCAATTTATCACTGCTATATTTACTGGCTTATTAAATAACAGGAGACAGATCATTTCTAAAAAAGGTCTGTTAGGTTGTAAAGATCATAGGAAATCATCTGTCTACTTCTGTACTTCTGAAAATACAGGCCAACATTATGGATCTTTACTAGCAGTTACCAGCATTACAGAGGCTAATATAACTCGGCACGTACAGTGTACGTGGCCAGTCATATAGCCACTTTGTGACGGGACGTACACTGTACGTCTCCCGTCACGAAGGGGTTAAACAAGGTTTAGCAACAATTGAACCTAAAAACAATGCCTTTGTCATAAACAATCAGATGGCAAATTGAATAGATAGCAAACCAGAATTAATTACCAATATTACAATACATTTGGCTAGTCAAATATACAGTATATGTAAGCAAGCTGTTATTTAATAGTGTCTTAAAGGTACAAAGACCTAACAATTCCAGTAAATGCTCGCTAATGGGACTCCAACACTTTTGCTGGCTAAACTAATTGTAATCATTAAAGGCACACAAGTCCTCACTTCTAAGAAGGTCTTTGTAAATTCCAAAATGTATAGAGCTGGTGTAGTCAATCAAGTGCAAATTTGATTAGCATTTTTATCAGAAAATGAGAGCTGTAAACCTAGCATGTACAGTAAATGCTGGGGAAAAAAAGTTCAGGTAATGTCATTTAATGGGTTATCTACTTAAATAATGGTCAGTCCTGAAAGGAACCTCTTCCAAGGGTGAGAAATTAATTTAGGTTTTCATGGTATCAAGAATCCTAATAATATCATAGACATAAGATGATTATCACTTAATTTTATGGCCACCCTGCAACGTTTGGACACTCCTGGTTGACCTAATTTCTGAATGAGATCTATAATTTTCTTGTGCAAGAGTGTCTTGCATGGGCAAGTGTAGCTTCAGCATGGGCTGACCTGTGCCGGACATTTGGGAACACAGGCAAAGACTGCAATGGTATTATTATTTACATGACCGTGTCTGCATCTCAGTCCTAGAAATAGATGGTGACCCTGGATGATGCCTGAATAAAGATTGTGTTGTCCTTGTAGAGAGAAAAGCAGATGATGGAATTGTCAGGTGATGTACTGAGATTCTGGAAGAGGTCATGGATACCTGAAATGTTACACTGACTCATTGCTTAGCATGCTGCAGATACCATGAAAAGATATCTGATGACAGCTCCTTTTAAAGATTCTCAGCTACTTCCAGTTAGTCAGACAGGGACTTTGGCCAGACTATGTACTGTATATTGTAAAAGAACCTGTTGCAGGACTATGATATAGTACCTGCTCCAGTAATGTGTACAAATGTCTACCATAGGGACTACTGTATGGTTACCACAAGTATCTCAGCAGCATCTGTAATGTTAATTATGGCTGCACACCTCCCTGTTCTACCTATTCTCATAATAAATTGGCGAGAGAAGGAAGAAAAGACAAATGACAAAGTCAAATTTATTTGGGGTGCAAGTGGCAGCTGAATCAATAGCTAACTAGGTTAAAATTAACCAATTTATTCAAACTGATATTTGAGATATGGGTGGCTACTAGTGGGCTGCATAACCCAATGGCTTATTTTGTGTTCTAGTGGCTCCAGCAGTAGTTCCCGTTGCCCACGTTCTTGGGCACCTCGTGCCATTAAGCCTCACTGTTTCTGTCCTACTCCCACCCTGCTGCATACTTTGCATTAGCCAAGAAAGTGGTCTTATGAAACTGGGGGCATAGATGTCATGTTAGAGCCCACAAGAGATATAAAGACCATGTCATTTTCAACTAAAATATCACTGGGCCAATGACCCTTTAAAGGGGAGCTTGCATTAGTATATATATAACAGTACATATTTCATGTAAGCGATGCGAATTATAACTCCATTATCATTTAAAAAATAATAAAACACTAAATGGTATTACGGTGACTTTTTATTCATTTAGCTGAATATTAGTGGTGCTTGTTCTCTGTGGCCTGGCAAGTGTATGAATAAGCTTTGCACATTCCAGACTTACAGCTTAGAGGATTAGTTACATAGATGTATTCATAAAGAGAGCTGGCAAAAGGCAGATAGTGTAACATTACTGCAGAATGATATTCTATTCCATCCACAGTGGCCATGAAAAATAATTGTTATCTTTTTATTGCTTTCTTTTAACTTGGCGTGTTAAAGCTATAAAACTAAAATACTATTTAGAGAGATAGCCACATCAATAGAAACATAGAAAAGAACGGTTATAAGTCATTAACTTGAGTAATATTTCTGTTAAGACAGTATTGAAGGCAATATTTGTAGAAAAAGAAATCATATTAGGGCAGATGTTGTAATGTTTGGGTTTTAACAATTCACAATTTCACTAGAGAGGTAGCAGTTGGATTTGGAGTATAATGTAGCTGAGCCCTTGAACTGTCCTACTATGAGTGCCATAGTTGAGCTTTGCGCATCAGCACATTTGAAATGTCACTTCATAATAAAATGTCAGAAATGTGCTGAATCAAAAACAAAATCTGTACCTCCATGACATATATCTAGGGCACATATATGAAATGTTCTTGCCACCTACCTTGTACATCTATTCACTGTAATGAACTTTGGGAAAAGGTATCTATATATGGTCAAACCTGAGATGTGTGCAATACATTCTGCTCTGCTTCATAAACCAAATCTAGGATCACTACAAGTCTCTCCTG